CTTGAATTCTTATACATTTTTAGTTGACTTATGTTGCCTTCCTGATTTGCGCATCTGTCACTTGTTTCTTTATTTTGTCTTTTTTTTCTTTTTCTTCTTGTGTGTTATATATGTTGTACCCACCCCCTCTGTAATGCCCTACGGGCCCTGAGGGTATTCTAATAAATAAATAAATAAATAAATAAGTCGAAGAGCCCAACGTGCCAGTTGACCATTCGGGTCACGAAGATTCACCAGCCAGCATAAAGCGTGATGGTCAGTAATGATAGTGAACGGACGTCCATAGATATAAGGTCAAAATTTGTGTACTGCAAGAACAGCTGCCGAGCATTCTTGTTCTGTTACAGTATAGTTGCGTTCAGCTTTATTGAAAAAGTGACTGGCATAAGCCACTACGTGCTCAGTTCCTTGATGATGCTGCACAAGTACAGCACCGATGACCATGCCACTAGCATCAGCATGCACTTCTGTAGGCAAGGACCCATCGAAGTGACGCAGTATGGGCCCCGACGTTAGTAGAAACTTTAGCTGGCGGAACGCATCGTCGCCAGCTGAAGTCCAGTTGAAGGGGACGTCCCTTTGAAGAAGACATGTTAGGGGATGCACCACGTCAGCAAATCTCGGAACGAAACGATCAAAATATGAGTATAGGCCCAAAAAGCTCAATTCTCGCACCGATTGTGGTGGTTCGAAAGAGCTGATGGCCTCGATTTTTCGTGGGTCTGGCCTTACTCCATATTGGTTAACGAGATGTCCAAGTACTAATGTCTCCGTTTCACCAAAACGACATTTCTTAGAGTTTAGGATCAAGCTGGCCTTTTGTATGCAATCCAAAACAAGACTGAGACGTCTGTTATGCTCATTAAGTGTGCTGCCAAAAATCAGCACATAATCTAGGTAGCACAAATTTCCCATTTAAGTCCTTGAGGCATTGTGTCCATAAATCGTTCGAATGTTGCCGGTGCATTACAAAGACCGAGCCGCTTAACATTAAATTCATAAAGGCCGTCAGGTGTCACAAAGGCCATTTTCTCTTTGTCGTTTGGGTGCATGGGTATTTGCAGTACCCTGATCACAAATCCAGTGACGAAAAGTAGGCAGCGGAATGCAGGCAATCAATGACGTTATCAATTCTAGGCAGCGGATATACATCTTCTTCGGTGACCGTATTTAGTTTTCTATAATCAACGCAAAAGCGCCATGATCCATCCTTTTTTCTTACTAAGATCACAGGCGCTGCCCACGGATTAGATGATTCTTGGACAACACCTTTCCGCAACATATCGGTGACCTGTTCAGCTATCACTGCCCTCTCTGTCGACGACACGCAGTAAGGTTTTTGACGAACGGGATGTGCAGATTCGGTGTCAATCCTGTAATGAGCACGAGAACGCGGTAGTGAAGTCTCCTTGTCACCTTTTATGAAATCGAACATCGAAAGATGTGTCATAAGGACACGTGCAAGAGCGTGGCATTCATGTGAGAGTAGCGACTTGCTGATCATTCTTAAGATCTCTTGTTTAGAACTGCTTCTCTGGGGTTCGCTTGTTTCTGCTGCTCTTCGCTTAAAACGGTGATAGTGCCGTACGTGATTTCGTCGAACTCGGCAAGCTCCATGTCACGTGGAAGAACAGCAGGCACCGAAGAACAATTGAAAGCCCATAAGCTTGATGTGCCATTCACAGCTGTCACGAGAGAACGAGGCACAAGTACATTTTTCTTCACGCAACCCTTCACAAGGGGTTGAATTTGCGCGTCAAACGATAAAAGGTCGGCATCAGCAAGATTAACAGGAACACGTAATAAAGACCACGGCGCTAAAAGAGAATCATTCGACACGACGAAACAGTTTTTCCCCGGTAAAGATGTCTCGGCAAGCTTAGACAAAAGCGCGTTATTCACTGTAATTTCGCGTGTGCCACAATTAACGGAAGCACCACAATCCTGAAGAAAGTCTATCCCAAGAATCACATCACGAGTGCACCGCTTTAATACCAAAAATTCCGTGACAAGATATTCAGCACCATACAAAACACTTGCAACACAAATACCTAGAGGAACGAGGCACTCTTCGCTGGCGCCACGAAACGTCACACCCCCATTCCACGGGAACATATCCTTGCGACCAAGTCTTTCCTTGAATGTGGCACTCATGACGGAAACCGTAGCACCAGTATCCACTAACGCAGTTGCAGGCACACTATCAATTAACACACTCACTTTGTTTTGGGACATCATAATCGGAAGATTGCAGAGACGGAGACCGCCGTCAGAGCAGTTTGCAGAGACGGAGACCGGCCGGCGACCTTACCTCCATCGGCCGCGCCGGCTAGTTTTCCGATGAAGGCAGTGGTGTAGAACGTCGCCGTGGAGATGGTGAACGGCGTGAGTGACTGGTTGGTGGTGTCAGGCTGCGGTCTGATGCTGGTGAGTCACTCCTCCTGTTAAAATGGCGGAAGGAATTCTTGGGTGGCGAGCCTATAGCGTTTGTTGCGCGATGTTCTGCCGGCCAATGATCATTGTTGATGCCTTCAAAGTTAGGCCAAGTCGGTGGTGGGTCATACCTCGTCTGGCGGCGACGAGGACAAAAACGAGAGATGTGTCCTGTCGCACCGCAGCTGTAGCAAACAAGTGAAGGGCGACCGATGTTGTAGACTTCGGGATAAGCCGCCTTCTGACGCTGCGAGTAGTAGGTAGGATCTTCCAAGTGCCGATTCGTCGTCGTACCGCGATAAGCACCTTGGCCATGCGTCACGTTGTCAGGAAACGTATGGTGGTGCTGTTGTAGGGGATTGGTTCGACTGTCTGCAACGCCTGGCGTAGCTGACAGTGAAGAAACCACTGGTGCACAGCTTTGTGAAGTTGATTAAAAACACAACCGAGCGTTCGGCCTTCACGGCGTTCATTGATTTGCTGTGTCACTCGAGTTCCTCACGGACGATTTGCCTCACAGTGGTAGCAAGGTCTCAATGGATATTGCAGCTGTCCTTAATGCTTGCAACCGTCGCAACATTCGCCAACCTGCCTAACTTTGGCGGGATACAGTGTATCTTCAAGGTCTCAAACGTGCGGCAATGATAGATCACGTCAGCTACCGAATCGAGGCTCTCCTTGCCAATCAAGTAGGTATACATGTCTTCGGCAATACCTTTCAGAAGATGCCCGACTTTGTCCTCTTTGGACATATGAGGATTCGCCATCTTTCACAGCTTCAGGATCGTCTCAATGTAAGCGGTACAAGTCTCACCTGGCACAGTCTCACCTGGCAACCACACAAAAGCAGTGTCTGTCAAGAAGAGAGCAACATACTCTAGTTGAGCCGTAGCATTCCAGCCGTTGCACTTGCTCACGCGTTTGTAGTGTGTCAGCCATTCTTCCACGTCCTCGCCGGGTTTGCCTGAGAAAGGGCGTGGCTCCAACTGACGCATCCAGGCACTGGGTGTCCGCGCCGGAGGAGTTGAAGATGACTGTAGGTCACCGTTGTTTGACATCGCGAGTTCCGGTAGTGTTGGAGGCAGTCGCGCGAGACGCCGGCTTCGGCGAGGACCTAGCAGCAGTGGCTCTGTCATCTTGGGCGAGTACCCAGGACCTCCACCACAAAACTGTTATGGTTAAAGTCGAAGGGTGTTTATTAGCAGGGCGAATTTAATGGTTCGGTAGTAATGGCGTTGGTATCTGCGCCAGTTCACGTCTTCCTCCTCTTCTCTCTCGGCTCATACCCGTTGCAATATCATTCTCTTCTAAATAAAATTCAAGCCTTTTGATGTACAAACACTATGCAGCCTCACCAAAGCTTGGTGCACATTGTCTCGTGCTGCCTCCACGTTGGCAATGCTCCCTCGTCACTCGCGTCAGTAGCCACTTGTCATGTCTCACTAGTTTGCCTCGTCACCACTTGTTGTGTCTTTACTGCCTGCTCATTTGCAGTACAGTGAGTCAACTATAGTTGCTACTTGACAACCGTTTCTAAGCAAACTCTCGAGCCACTTTTAGTCCAAAGTTTCTAATGGACTAAAGGTGGCTGTAGAGTTTGTTTTTTTCATACAAAGGTTTACCTAGCCTGTGAAATCGTTCATGTTATGATTAAATTGGCAACTGTTACATTGTGCTTAGTACGTACGCCGAGCATGTCCGGCGCAGTTACCTGCACCGGGTATATTCCCTATCTCTCTTCTCCAGCAGTCTGTGCTGATGCACCAGGGTTGCCTGCACAACACGCGAGGCCGATGACTCAACATTTGGCCAATGTGACAATTAGGCCTTAATGCTTATACTACTCTTAAAAAGACAATGGTGCTCTAGGCAGTTGAATGGAATTTGTCTGCCTAAATCTACATCCTGTGTGAGATGAGCACACAAAAGGATACAGAAAAAAGGAAAAGGTGCGTGCACACAATGCTACTACTAACAACAATAATTTATTTCCTTCACCTTCCAACATACTTTGCGTAGGACAGTCATGTGAACACGTTTTGCAACGACAACAAAAGACACTATTGATATCGAGGCAGACGTCTGTTCACGTGAATGTCATGCACTAAGCAGGCATGTCAGCTGAGCGGTGAATGAATAAGCTGTTGTTGTTAGTAGCGCCAGTGCACGCGTACATCTCTTTTTTTTGCATGTCCTATTGTGCGCTCGCATTGTACAATTACTGACCGTAAACTATGGACCATTCAGTGTACCAAATAAATTAGAAAGCATTGAGCAGTATGTTGGTCTGCATTTTTGATAGTGGATGGATTAACACACTGGAAGATGGCGATATACTTGCACTTTATGAAGTTATGTAGTAAGCACATCAATATTTGTGGAACACTAATAATATTCCTGTGAGGTACACTTGATCCCGTTCTCTTTTTATAGTGCAGTGAGCCTTTTGAACAGTGCATGAAAGTTGCTTAGTGACTTACCGTGCAATGAGTGTTATTTCAACTGTACAGTGTAGTCGGATTTTGTCATGTTGGCTTTAAGGTATTTTTTAACATGTGCTGGTGCAGTTCAGCGTTTGACAAGGAGAACAAGCAGAAAGTGGCCATCAAGAAGTTGTCGCGCCCCTTCCAGTCGGCCATCCATGCCAAGCGCACGTATCGAGAACTGCGACTTCTCAAGCACATGGACCACGAAAATGTGAGAGCTTCTGCTTTACCTCTGCTGGTCAGCCAGAACCAGTATTAGTGTAAACTTAGAACAGACCGGCAAAGTCACTTTCACTTTTTAGCTATTGTTCATGAATACTTCAATGCATGTTGATATTGTTCCTACCTTTTTTTACGTGGGTGGTTTACACAAAATAATGAATGGCAGGTTTGGACAGTCGGTTTATATTTCACATCAGGTGTGTCTGAATAAATTACGTTTGGGAATAATGGCTTGTGGCATCTTTTGCATAAGTTGTTTTGCGCTGCCTTTATTTGAACAATGAAGCCTGGATACTTGGGTGTCCAGATGTCAACCTCTTCTGTTTGGACAAATGAGTTTTAAGGGCGTGTATGTGGGAGCAAGACAACTTCAGGTGAAGAAGCCTAAACAGAACAGTGTTAAAGAGCTTGTTTCATAGAAATTTCAGTGCTGGCTTCAGCATCATTGGTTGTGAGTGGAAAATCATATTCGTGTCTGAAAAATCAAGAAAGATGCAATTAAAATTAATAATACGAACTTCATTTCAAGTGAAAATTGAGCCCAGGTCATTAGCGTGGGGGGTCTCGAAATGGCGACCGCCACCACCACGCTCTTGGATTCAACGGACATAGCAGACACGATCGGTACAAACCAAAGAATATACATACATTTATTTAACTAATTTAGACAATCATATTGTCACGGGGTCGTGACGTGGCCGAAGACAGGAGACTTCGTGTTAGGATTTAACTGTTTATTTGGGCGAACCTGTGCCCGGTAAACTGAAAGTCCAATTACAGCAGCAGTCTCGCACAGATAGCAGTCTCGGACTGATAGCGGCGAACGGAGCGTCGGCCTTCGATCAACAACTGACAAGCGGCGAAGCGCGTCGGCATTTATACTCTTGCCGTCGAATGTTCTAGCGTTATCGCTGGCGGTGGCGCAGCTTCCAGAACAATCTGTACCGTTCGCACAGTGGGCGTGGTCTTATCGAAATGATCTACTACAGTCCGGAACCTTCTAGAAAACTGCAGGCGCGGTTTGCGCTGAGAATCGTGCGGTGTTTTCGGACGATAACAAAAACTTGGGAAATGGAACGTGGCATTGCCCCCCTCTGAAAAAAGGCATCGTCCCGATGCTTTAACTAAAGATGAAAGTACAATAATATTGCAAGAAAGTACAATGAATAAATTACGATACAACAATAATACAAAAAACACTAGTTCAGTTTGTTAACGCGCATGAAACGGCTTGAGGCGCGCGACATGGACGACTTCAGGTCGCGATCGGCGTCGTTGAGAGTTCGTGATGCCGTCGGGGACAACCTCGTAATCAAGTGGGCCGAGCCGTCGAACCACCCTGTACGGTCCGAAGTACCGTCGCAGAAGCTTTTCACTTAGTCCACGTCGGCGTATCGGCGTCCACACCCAAACACGTTCACCGGGCTGGTATTCCACGAAGCGTCGTCGAAGGTTGTAACGGTGGCTGTCGGTCGTCTGTTGATTCTTGATACGGAGACGCGCAAGTTGTCGGGCTTCTTCGGCGCGTTGAAGGTACTCGCTCACATCGAGGTTTTCTTCGTCGTTGACGTTGGGTAACATGGCATCGAGCGTCGTTGCCGGGCTCCTTCCGTAGACCAATTTGTATGGCGATATCTGCGTCGTCTCCTGCACCGCCGTGTTGTATGCGAAGGTCACATATGGAAGAATGGCGTCCCACGTCTTGTGTTCGACATCGACGTACATTGACAGCATGTCGGCGATCGTCTTGTTAAGCCGCTCGGTAAGGCCGTTGGTCTGTGGGTGGTACGCTGTCGTCCGGCGGTGGTTTGTTTGGCTGTATGCCAAGATTGCTTGAGTTAAGTCGGCAGTGAATGCCGTTCCTCTGTCGGTGATAAGGACCTCTGGGGCGCCATGACGTAGGACGATATTTTCGACAAAGAATTTAGCTACTTCGGATGCACTGCCTTTTGGCAGGGCTTTTGTCTCGGCGTAGCGAGTGAGGTAGTCGGTAGCTACCACGATCCACTTGTTTCCGAAAGCCGACGTCGGGAACGGCCCCAGTAGGTCCATACCAATCTGCTGGAAAGGTCGGCAAGGTGGATCAATTGGCTGCAGAAGTCCCGCTGGCCTTGTCGGCGGTGTCTTGCGTTGCTGACAGTCCCGGCATGTTCTCACATAACGAGTGACGTCGGTGGTAAGACGTGGCCAGTAGTACCTTTCTTGTATCCTCGCGAGCGTGCGAGAAACACCGAGGTGCCCTGCCGTCGGATCGTCGTGAAGGGCCTGCAGGAGTTCTGGTCGCAGAGCTGAAGGCACCACAAGAAGGTACTTAGCTCGAAGCGGTGAAAAGTTTTTCTTTTCCCGGAGAACGACCAGGAGAACGACCACGTGACCAGATGTCACGTGGTCGTTCTCCTGGCTGTGGACGCGGTGCATTGACGGCGAAGCCACGCAGTCCCATCTGTCGGTACTGGCAACGGCGGTATGTGTGTCCGGCCTCGCCGCAGTGGTAGCAGAGCGGGCGATGGTCAGGGGTGCGCCAGACGTCAGTCTTCCTCGGTGCACTGCGCTGGGCCGCTGGCGAACGGTATGACGTCGGTGGGGGTGGTGGCGGCGGTGGCGTCTGTCGACGGAAGTGCGATGGGGCGGCGTTTTGGCGTGGACGGGGAGGAGCGTTGTGGCGCAGTGCAGCGGCGTAGCTCATGTTTTCTGGCTCGGGCAGCGGTGTATGGGGAATTCGAAGTGATTGCCGAACTTCTTCTCGCACAATGTCGGCGATCGAATCCACTTGAGGTTGCGCCGAAGGCAACAGTTTGCGCAGCTCTTCCCGCACGATCGCTCGGATCGTCTCACGCAGGTTTTCGGAGTCACTGGTTTGAGCAGCAGCGCATTCTGGAGTCAGGCGACGATTATACTGTCTGGTGCGCATGTCAAGGGTTTTTTCGATGGTGGTCGCCTCGGATACAAATTCTTGGACAGTGTTCGGTGGATTCCTCATTAGTCCCGCGAAGAGCTCCTGCTTGACCCCTCGCATGAGGAAACGAACTTTCTTCTCCTCAGGCATGTCTGGATCAGCGTGACGGAATAGTCGGGTCATTTCTTCTGTGAAAATGGCGACATTTTCATTTGGTAGCTGAACCCGAGTCTCTAATAAAGCAGCGGCCCTCTCTTTGCGAGCGACGCTCGCGAACGTTTGAAGGAATGCGCCGCAGAAAACATCCCACGTTTGGAGCGTGGACTCCCGATTTTCAAGCCAAGTCCTTGCGGTGTCTTCCAAATAGAAGAACACACGACGCAGCTTTTCGTCATGGTCCCAGTGGTTGAGGGCGGCCACACGGTCGTATGTTTCTAGCCAGGACTCCGGGTCTTCGAACGATGACCCATGGAAAATTGGTGGTTCCCTGGGTTGATGCATGACCATCGTGGGCAGGGATGCGGCGGTTGTCATTGTCGCTGCAGTCGCGGTCATGGCCTTGGTCTTCCGCGCCTTGTCTTCTAGAATCCCGTACTCCGGTGGTAGCCCTTGCTGTCGGCGGCTTGTTCGCTGCTCCTGGTTGGCGTCGGTGTCTTCTCCGCGACGTGGGCTGGGTTCACGGCTTGACGGGGGCGTGCGGTACATGAACGAAGCAGCACCTCCACCAGATGTCACGGGGTCGTGACGTGGCCGAAGACAGGAGACTTCGTGTTAGGATTTAACTGTTTATTTGGGCGAACCTGTGCCCGGTAAACTGAAAGTCCAATTACAGCAGCAGTCTCGCACAGATAGCAGTCTCGGACTGATAGCGGCGAACGGAGCGTCGGCCTTCGATCAACAACTGACAAGCGGCGAAGCGCGTTGGCATTTATACTCTTGCCGTCGAATGTTCTAGCGTTATCGCTGGCGGTGGCGCAGCTTCCAGAACAATCTGTACCGTTCGCACAGTGGGCGTGATCTTATCGAAATGATCTACTACAGTCCGGAACCTTCTAGAAAACTGCAGGTGCGGTTTGCGCTGAGAATCGTGCGGTGTTTTCGGACGATAACAAAAACTTGGGAAATGGAACGTGGCAATATCGTCCGCCAAATCGATACATCAGTCGTTATCAACACGCTAAGTCATCATTACACAAAATTACTATACACTCAAACAACATAACACAAGAGCACACAAAAAGCGGCAGCACCAACGCTTCACTCACCACGTGGGTCTACCGCAGGCGGCCCGCGGTGCCGTCCACGGCAGACCTACCGGGAGAGACAACCGTTCGGGGCAACCGCCACGCGCAGAAGAGCCTCGCTCAACTCTCGCCTGCCACCAAGGCTTGCTTTCCACCAGGGGTCACCGCCAGTGCTACATCATTATTATCATGATGATAGTGGTGGCCAACTCTCGCGAACACAACGCCACCTATCGCCTGGTGGTTGTCATCCGAAATGCGGCTTTTGGACGAGACACATGCGCCACGTAGCGCAAACAACTTTACAGGGCGTGTCAGCACCCCCACAAGCGTTAGGACAAGTCGGTCTACCATAAAGCCATGACATTGCTTGAAACAGATTACAGAGAAAACACAATGTGAATTTCATATAGTGGAAGGTGTCTTCTTAGCACACCATCTATTGCATGGCAGAAACATAGAATTGTGTCAGGCATCAAAACATGTGAATTGCACAAGTGGGTGTTTAAAGGCCCACCCATTATAAAGGGTTCAAACATATTTTCATGTGTTGCCTTACGGACATATTGTGGGCCCTTCGCTGATTCGAAAAAGATTTAGTGGGCACTTAACAACTGTGTTGTGGTAGACATTGGGTATGGCCACTGCTTCACGCACAGTCATTTTTTTAAAGCAATGATGAGACCGAAAACTGAAGCCAGGCTGGCAATGCACGCGGTGCCCGATCACGCTATATCCTTCTACTCCTGAAGCTCAAGTGTTTTACAATGTATTATATGATTTACACGCAGCAGTTCTGGGACTCAAAACAAGCTTCATGTAACGGAAGGAAGAGAGAAAGTTGCTGGA